TTCTAGCTATCCCGTCCCACCAAACATGCTCACCCTTTTAGCCGTGGGAGCTTATAATGTGGCGGTCAATCCCACTATTCGTTGGTAAAATAGTAGCCCAAGAGTTAGCGGTGGATGGTGATGACTAGCTGCCTTTCCTCTAGTCTTTCAATTGTACTACACAGTGTAACTTTTAGTCAAACAACTTTCTGCAGGAATAATAAATTTAACATGTATCCACACAGTTAGATGGAACTGCTTGCTAAATGAAGCTTATTAACGAATATTTCTCTCGGGGAATTAAAGAGACTCGACGTAAGAAGCTGGAACTTTTATACGTAGTTAGGTTCTTCAATATAGACTATTTGATAAGATCATTTTTGTTCCGCTACTTTTTATGGAAAGAATAACAATAATTTAAAGCGATGAAATAAAATGACTTTCCTCTCTTAATATCGTGATAAAATGGAAGTATGTTTTCTAAAGCCACCGGACATCAGTAACTTGAAGAACTGGGATGATCTTTTTTCTTATAGTCTGAATTCCTTAATATTTCGAAGAAATGGAATGATTTTCCCCCCAAATAATTTGGCCGATGTTCTTTCTACGTGAATATTTTGATAAAATAAAACGATGGACCTAAGAATCTGTTTTTCACCTTGATGCAATGAAACAATGCAAGGCAGAGTCTTCTACCTGAATAATTTGATAAAATAAAGAATATGTTTCAGAGTCATATATCTTAATAATTTGTTTAAAGGACACAAGTGCATCAAGGTTTTCCACGCAGTGTAACCTACTCCGCAAATATATAGTTAGCACAAGATCAAATGTACTACACAGTGTAACTTTTAGTCAAACAACTTTCTGCACAGTTAGATGGAACTGCTTGCTAAATGAAGCTTATTAACGAATATTTCTCTCGGGGAATTAAAGAGACTCGACGTAAGAAGGTGGAAAGTTTATACGTAGTCAGGCTCTTCAATATAGACTATTTGATAGGATCTATTTTTCGTACCTACTTACTTTT